TTTACCTCATTCCTTACTCAATACCAGAGAATTCATACTCTAGATTAACCTTACAAATGTAAAGATTGTGACAGAGCCTCTAATCAAAACTCAATCTTTGCCCAACACCAGATAATTCATACTGGAGAGAAATTCTTCAGTGGCAAACCCTTTCACTAATGGACAAATCTTAGTGAACAGTGGAGAATTCATACTGGAAAAAAAATATGTGTACTATGATGTGACAATTTTTCCATAGTTCCTCATACTTTATTCATCACCAGAGAATACATAGTGAACAGAAATCTTATATATATAATGAATGTGGCAAATCTTTCAGTAGTTATTCACATTTCATTCAACAGTAGAGAACTCATACTGAGGCAAAACCATAGAAATGTAAAGATTATGGCAAAATTTTTCATCAAATAACAAATCTTACTAAATGTATTCATTCTGAGGAGAAACCTTTCAAATGTAAAAATTGTGGCAAAGTGTTTGATCCAATCTCAATTCTTATTAAACTTCAAATAATTCATTCTAAGGTACAACCCTATAAATGTAAAGATTATGGTACAGTCTTTAATCAAAACACAAACTACAATAAACTACAGAGAAGTCATACTAGAAAGCAAGTAAACAAATGTAAAGAATATGACAAAGCCTTTTATCAAAGATTAGATCTTCCCTAACTTCAGAGAAGTAATATCAGGGAGAAACCCTACAAATATAAAGATTGTGGCAGAGTCTTTAATGAAAATAAAGACTTTAAACAACAGCCAGAAAATTCATCCTGGAGAGAAAACCTACAAATATAAAGAATGTAGTGAAGTCTTCCACCAAAGTTCAATTATTACTAGATACCAGTGTATTCATATGTAATAGAAATGCTATGAATATAAAGATTGTAACAAAGCCTTTAATTCAAGTTCAACTCTTATTCATCAACATGGAACACACATTGATCAGAAACCTTACAATTTAAAGAACTGGCCAAGTCTTTGAACAAACCTCAAATCTTACTAAAAGCTGGAGAATTCATATAGGAGTGAAGCCCTACATGTGTAAAAATTCCATTAGATCATCTGATCAAAACTTAAAGTGTATTATACCTCTCTTTTCATTAAATGGCCTCATTTCTATAAACAAGAAAAAGAACATCTCTTTTTTTTTACTACTACATGCTCACAGTACATATTTATTACATTTATCATGGGGAGTTGGTACATGTACACAATGTATTTTTTTTTCATTTTCTACCCCTCTTATGCATGTGGATTATAATAACCACTATGATTAATTTTTCCATGTTTCCTTTGCATTAAACCATGAGCTTGAGGTCAGGGACCAATATTCATTTATCTTTGTTTTTACAACGTCTAGAAATATGGTAAACATCAATAAATGTGTATTAATTCAATTGATAGAGATGGAAAAAGTTAAATAATTACAAGAAAAAATTCAACTTTACTATTTTCAAAAATCCCCAATATTAAATGGATAATGTTCATTTCAATATAATACCCAGTAATGGTGACACTACAGAAAAATAAGCACTTCAGAACACAATTTTCTATCCTGTTTCTATTTATTTATTTATTTATTTATTACTTTTTGGTGCCAGGGATCGAACTCAGGACCTTGTGCTTACAAGACAGGCATGGTACCACTGAGCTAAATCCCCAGCCCTCCATCCTGTATTTAATTAGTTTCAACCTCATTTCTGATTTCCTTTCTTGTTCTTTACAAATCTCTTTCTCGGGTGCTTATTTTCCTTTTAATCTATTCATACAATTAAAATTTCAAGACTGATTAGTATGATACTTTAAATTATTTTTCATGAAATAAAATTTTTCTTACCATAGACTTGTAACTGCTGATTTGGAAATAATAATTCACATGGTGTACAGGTAGCGGTTAAAATTACTACAGAAAAAACTGGCAACTATTAGATGCTCTGGATATTATTATCTCACTGGACAATTTTCTTCATTGTCCAATAAATAAGCCACAACCTTTTTCTCCCTCCCTCTTTTGTTTTCTTATCTACAAAACTTCTCACCTTCCTTCTCCAGGTATATATCCAAAAATTCAAAATTTCAACTATTTTATTAAGCAAAATAATGTATTGCTCCCTTTGCCTTGGATACCCTAACCATACCATCAGAACTTCCTAAGACAACTAAAATGGTCTGTAAAATGTCTATATGCCACTTGATCTGACCATATTAACAAGACTTAAAACTTATGTCGGTAGATTTGTTCTTTTTAGATGTGGTGAAGCATTCATAAACATAGTAGACTCAATACTTCTTTGAACAGGCTTTAAATAAAGTAATAAGTATATTTTCACACTATTTGGTTATAATTCACACTAATATTTCTTATCCCCCAGGTTTATGGGATAGCCCTTAAATGACACATAAGAAGAAAAAAATGAATGAAGACAGAACTAAATGAATTGGATAGTAAATATTTGCCAAGCATTTTATACTTATAATCTTATTTAAGCCTTTCAATAAATGTAAGAATTAGGTCACTGTGTCTATTTGAGAGAAGATAATAAAGATAAGTTATTTGTTTCATGTTACACAGGAGGTGTGAGAGCAAGGAAGTGAATACAGCTCCTTCTGGCCCTAAGGTGGTGCTCATTTTACAGGATCATAATGGATAAGTAGGGGTCTATATCACTAAAAAGTTCATAAGCATAAAATCAAGTTCAACTTTTATTAAATATCCTATTATCTCCATACAATACCTTTTTTTCCTGACTTTAACAAAATTCACCTACATAAAACATTTGCCAAGCTTAATCTGAAAAGGCTCCAACTCCTTAAGAATGCCTACATTTATATGTTTATATTTCAAAACTCACCCTAACTCTGAACTTGATGCTTATAATCTATGACAGCCACAAAAAAGTGAAAAATTAGAGGTTTCTATAAGACCTAATTTATCATAAGGAAATATACAGAAGTGAAAGAAAGAAAACTCAAAGCAGAAAAAGAAAAAAGGAAAAATTTGTTCCATGTAGCTTTCATCTGTATATTACTTATGATTCAAAATGTGCTGAAAATCATTATGATATACTAAAGCTTTAAAATGTATTATAGAAACATCTCACTTAACACACCAGTAAACTTATTTGATGTCCCTATACTCAATTACTAAATTAAAAATATCCCAAGCTTTTAATTAAAACAGCAAAAACTTGAAGTGAAAGATTATACATAAGCATGAAAATCATCTTCTCTACATAGCAGCAGCACTAATGGTACTAGGTTTTTAAATGCCCAAAAGTAGGAACCCAGGGATATTAAGTCTTCTCTTAACCACTTGGTGAGAGAGTATATATTGATACAACTTCTCTAGAACAAATCCTTGAAGGAATCATTGTTTCAGAACTAATTTTCTTCTTAAGAATCTAGTTTAAGAACATAATGAAAGAAAAAGACAAAAATTAGTACACAATAAGGTTTATGGGCAGCATGGATATACTGAAGTGAATTTAAAGGGGCCAACCACAGTGAGGAATATATCTTCTTCCAGTATATTACTGTTTTGATGAATCAAAAAAGGTTTAGATGACACAAATGTTGGCAGTAACCATAGGGTAAAGGTCAAAGTATAAAATATTATCTGAATAACATATATTACTCCATTTTCATAAGTATTTTAGATATAAAAATCCATTCATTTCAGTACTAAAAATAATTTTTAATTACATAAATAAGTGGACATAACACAACAGCAAATTTTATAATAAATATATTTTTCATGAGCGCATCATTTAAAAATATATAACTAAATGATGATAAAGTCTCATTAGTATAGGCTGAAAAAACATCACATGACTCAAGGTCAGAAGGTGTAGCAGCAGTCTTTAAAAGAAATCTAAGAATTTACCAGGGCCAGGGATTTAGCTCAATGGCACTGCACAAGTGCAAGTGACAAGCGCGAGATCCTGAGTCCAATCCCTGGTACCACAAAAAAAAAAAAAAAAAAGAATTAACTAACTAGAAAAAAATAGAACTCAGAAGAAAATGACTTAACAAAAAAGCCAAAAGAGAATAATTTTTTTTCACTTTGATAAGGAGAATTTATTTTTTTAAAAACATACAGTTAACATAATGGTGATGAAAAAATTAAATGCTTCCTTATAAAATTGAGAACAAGAAAAGGATGTGTGCTCTCATTACTCTTACCTAACAGAGTTCTGGAAGTTGTACCCACTGCATTAAGGCAAGCAAATGAAATGAAAGGCCTGCAGATTGGAAAGGAAGAAGTAAAACTGTCTCTATTTCATCTATTTGCAGATGGTATGATGGTCTAGGCAGTCAAAGAAGAGAATCTATTTTTTATATCCCCCTCGATCTCTTTTTTCCGAATGCTGTAGTTTTCAGTGTAGAGGTCTTTTGCTTTCTTTTTTAGACTGATTCCTAGATACTTCATTTTTTTTGGATGCTATTGTAAAACGAATTGTTTCCCTAATTTCTCTCTCAGTGAGTCCATTATTTGTGTATAAGAAGGCTATTGTTTTTCGAGTGTTGACATTGTATCCCAAAAGAGTAATTTTAAAGGGGAGGGGGATTAACCTGATGTGAAAAATCCATAACAAAGCATCCATAGGCAAATATAAATTCCACATGCAAACTACAGATACAATAAATATGTGGCACATTTATTTTACCATTTGATCAGAACGATAACAAGATATATTTTAACTTCACAAATCTACAAGTTAGAAAAGCTGAAGTATGTATCTCCTGATTTTAAAAAAGCATTTATGCAAAGTTCTCCTACAACAGAAGATTCTGTTCACTTACTGAAATGTTAAAAGCTTTTGTGTTAACAATAAGTAACAGCATATGTATATAAAGTATGGCTAATATCAAATTAAAATTGTTGCTAAATTTATTCTGAGACACTGACATACATACATATATATAGTATATATATATATGAACATATATATGTGTGTTTTCACATACATAGATTCATTTTTGAAATTATATACTCACATTTCTTTCACCTCCATTCCCATTTTCAGATAAAATGTTGATTTAGGTAAGTAATCTCACTTCTCTGAACTCCAGGTGGCATACTGTGAAGTGAAGGAGGATGTCACAGATTATGACCTCATGTTCCCTGCCCCTCTTTTGGCCATGAGACTGCAGAAATCTCCCAAAATGAAGAATGGATTAATCATGTTAATAATTTTAAGTATTTAAAAGGAAATCGTGAACAGAAACTCAAGGAGAAAAATAATCACTGAATTCAGCAATGGGGTATCTAATACAGTATTACAGGGGTATCTTTGTTTTTTATTTTTTCCTGGTATTGGGGATTCAACTCAGGACCTTGCGCTTGCAAGGCAGGCGCAGTGCCACTAAGCTAAATCCTTGGCCAGTCCAAATAATACAATATTCCATACCTTCCATAGCTATGCAGTCAAAGGAACACCCAATGATTTCTAGTATTTGCTGTCAAAATGTAGCAGTAAGGTAGCAGCTTTTTAAAAAAGATGAGTTGTAAAGTACTTATGAGCAAACAGTGTGCTTTACAGTCAATACATTTTTAACTAATTCAAACAGTAGCTGTTAGGGCAACAAAGAATAAAAATATATAGACCACAAAGTTCATTAAAATATTAAGAAAATATTATGTGTACACAAAGTTTTACAAAATAGGAAGTTTCAGTAAAGTTCTCACTATGTTTATATTTAACATTTCTCATTCTTCTGTAAAGTGCACTTTCTAGAAAAAGCAATAAAATTCTTAAATTAAAATGACTCATTTACTTGTATATTATTGCAATTATATACAGTAAAAAAATCAATCAAATCAAACGTACCTGTGAATTAAGTAGCTAAAATACGAACATAATGTGAGTTCAGAAGAAAAAAAATCCATATATTTAAAGAGCACAAATTAGTCACTTAAGATTCATCTTAGGAATGGAAAAACTTCAATAATAAGAAATCTATTAATGTAACTCATATGAATTCGTTAAGGAGGAAAATATAATTATCTCTACAGATGGTAAAGGATTTGACTACTTTCAACATTCAACTCTGATTTTAAAAACTGTGGGAGAAGAGTTAGTAATTTGATTTTTAAAATATGTGTACCTCAAAGCAATAATTAATGTTTTGATAAAAACTAGTAAAGGTTAATGAAGACAAACAAATGAAAATGAGTAGGCTCACACTCTGATTTTTCTTTTGATCCCCTCCATTTCACTTTTGTCTTCTAATTTTCTAAATCCCTGTTCAATGCTGTAAACAACACTGGTGATTCTGATTGCTCTGCTTTCTCCAGCTCTCCTCCCAGCAAGGAGAAAACAAAATGGTGTGTGGAAGACAGCTCTTCTGTTCTTGAGGAAAACTTACCCTTAGGTTCCTACATATGTTTGCCATGCTGTGTCAATTTCCCTTTAGTATAGTGAAACAACTGAGGCAGTTCACTTATAGAGAAAAAAGGATTATTTTGGCCCACAGTTCTGGAGGTTCCAGTACAACATCAAGCGGCCTCTTATCTCTAGGCCCTTGTGAGGAGGGTATGTCATGTTAAGAGTACATGGTGGTGCAAACCACTCACCTCATGAACCAGGAAACAAAGAAAATGACAGGAAGGGATCAGGGTCCCACAGTTTTCTCTAGGGCTACACCCCTCAGTGACCTAAGGATCTCTCACAAAGCCCCATTTCTTAAAAGTTTCATCACCTCACAACAGCACTACCCTGGGTACGGAGCCTTTAATCACATGGGCCTTTGGGCAACATTCAACATCTAAACTATTGCACTTGCCTCTCTCATACTGGCCATAGTCTGATGATTTTAAAGAAATCTTCCCCAGTCACATTTCTCCTTTTATCAGGCTTCTGGGAGTGGGAACTGAGATGTTAGGAGAGTGCAGAAAACTGCTCAATCAAGAGGATGATGGAAATCTCTTCCCTTTTTCTTTCTCCGTGAGATTTTTTCTGCACAGCTGGGGATCAAATCCAAGTCTTCACAGACCCTGCCCCGCCGAGCCTGGGCCCCAGGGGAGGTTCCCGGTATGGACTGACCGCAGGGCAACTTCTGAGCCCCGGGCAGGGATGGCTGGGGTGCCCCGCAGGGCTGGGCTGTCCTGAGGCAGTCGCAAGGGTCCCAGAGCCCGGCCAGGTGGGCTGAGGCGTGGCCCTCAGGGGTCTCCGGAAGCCCCGCCCTCCCGGAAACCCAGCCTCCAGACCGCACCGCGCGAACGGAAGGGCCTGCGGCCCGGCCGCCGCCATAGGTGTGGAGCCAAAACCCGTAGGAAAGCTGGTTCCCCAGACTTCGGAACCTGGAGCAGATGGACGGCGGGAAGGAGGAGAGGTGCGAAGTCAATGTCCCCGCAGGTGCAGATGTCTCTGGGCCGTTCAGTCGGCCCCTCTTGGCTCTGCAACCCACTCCCGAATGGCCAGGAGCCCCCGGGCCCGAAAACCCGAGAGGACGGTGATATGGCCTGCAAGCCAAGGCTGTTGAGGAGCTCCTCGCGCCTTAGAAATTCCTCCTCTCCTTCCTCCTGTGCAGGTGTGGGCGAGGCCGCTTCCAAAGGCTGCCTAGTGGGAACTCTCAGGGGTTTCTTTTGTGGAAGGGATCCCTCTGTGCCCTGCCAACCCTCTCTAGAAGAAATATTTAAGGGTGATTCTAAAGATAAGTTATTGGAACGCTGTGAACTCTTGAGTTTGCAGCTGAGGCTGAGGTTAAGAAGGTGTGTGAAGGGGGGGCGGGGGGGACCAGCACTGCTGCTTCGCTCTCTGAGCAGTTCACCAGAATCGCAGACTCAGCACCAGTAACTGATTAACGGAACCAAGTTTAGAAAGGAAGACACTTTGTTGGAAAGGGAAATAAAGGAGATGACAGATAGCCACCCCAATAAGAACAGGGGCAGGGGGCTCCAGAAAGATGGAGGACCTGTGGGCCTTTGTTCCTGGCTGTTTTTATTGGGTGTCAGGGACCTTCCCCCCTACCTGAAACTTGCCATAACCTGATCAGTTCCCTGGGCTGTCTTTGATTAGACCAGGCCCCTCTGTCTATGTCATTTCTTTTAGGGGGCTTTGTGTTACTTCTTTTTGTTTGTCCTTAACAGAGTTTTATTGAGCAGCTAGTCTGTTAGGAGGAGCCTTATCCATAGTTAGCTTTTAGAATTACTGAGGGGCTGTGTCAGTATCTAATGTAGTAATATAGTGACTCTAGAGTATAAATGTGTGTGTGAGTGCGTACATGTAAGTATATATTTGTATACCCTGAATAGGAGCTTTCCCCAAGTTAGGCAGCCCCCTCCCTGTGCATTCTGTTGGAGGTGGGGAGGAGTGGCTATCATAGCTTTCTGGTTTTCTGTGCCCTGCCTGTCAGCTTTTCTTCTGGTCCTTTGGTGCAAGTCCCAAGGCCATTTGGTGCCTTTCTTTATCTGTTTTTTCTCTTTCTCAACCCCTGTTCTTAAAACTGTAACCAGGGAAATTTCTCTAGTAAAGTTCTAACTCCTTCTACTCAAGATTAGCCAGAAAACCTAATGAGGCCCCTATTTTATTCTCCCTACAGAATGATGTGATGGAGGAGCCAAACAAGGTCCAGAAAAGGAAAATAGGCTTCAAGACCATGGCTCCACTGTCATTTACCTGAGGGCCATCCAGGGCTCCCTGGGGAAATGGATGCCCCAAAGGAAGGAAGAAGCTACTATCACTAGGGTACAGCTGAGTGCAGAAGAGCATCCCAGCTGTGTAGAAGGACCAGCCAGGAGTGTCACTATCAGTGCTTCTCAGAACTAGAAAGAGCCATACCCCTCAGGTCAGAGTGGAAGAGGAAAAGTCAGTTAAACAGGAACAGTTTCTGTGATAGGAGAGTGATTATAGGCTGTCAGGAGAAACCCAGCGAAGGGCCACTTAGGGGCCGAACAACAGTCATTGACAAGCCCTCTCTACCCCTAGAATTTGTGGATGATGCTGACTTGTCTAGAAATCCAAAAGCAGAAAGATAAGGAGGTTGTAATAGAGCACCTTCAGGAAGTGACTAGTCGGATATGGATGGAATCTCCACAAATCAGATTCTCTCGGGAAGAGCCCACCTCTCTGAAATACTCAGTAGTTCCAGAGCCTTCTTCCTTCCCCACTGACTATGTCATGTACCCTTGTCATGTGTATAGTTGTCCTTAGTCTGATGATGCCAGCTACTGGACCAGCAGCCCCAAGACTCCTGGCTACTCCTCTGTGGGGAGCACAGGCTGGGAAGAGCAGCCATAGCCTCCTGTGTGATTATCACCCAGTACACCTCCAGAGACCTGAAGGCTTTAAACAAAGGCAGATCATAGAATTCTTACTCATTTCGTTTCTCCAGAAGCTCTAAAGAAGAAATGGTGAAGGAGAAAAGAACATTCCCAGAGGAGCCACTGCTTTTTTGGGGGCTCAAGACACACATCTAGCTTCTTTCCAAGTTGCCACCGGGAGCCAAGCCTACAGGAGGGCTTCACCAATAAGCACTGTCACTTGGACATGCTATATTCCATGTTGTCTTTCAAAGGGACTTTTACTGTCTGGGCAGGATGCTGTGCCTATAATCTCAGCATTTGGGAGGCTGAGGCAGGAGGATTGCTGTGATTTCAAGGCCAGCCTGGAATACATAACAAGACTCTGTCTCAAAAAACTGAAAGAACCTTTACAAAGTTCAGGAAAATTTATAGCAGTTCCTTCCCTAAGGAGTTTTCAGGGCTGCATCTCAGACTTCTGTGATCCTTGGACACTGATGAATTGCCTATGAAAGAGTTGATGAAAGAAGATTGAGTTAGGGGGCCTTTGGCTGTCACCTTCATTTTGCACATTACTATAGTGAGAGTCAAGAAAGAAATTTTTTGCAAGCCTTAAGACACCCAAAGGCTGTGGCATTTGGGGAAATGGGCCTGGATTACTCTTACAAATATACCATACCAGTCCAAATAGCACAAGGTATTTGAGAGCCAGCTGCAGCTGGCTGTGTCTCTAAAGAAACCTCTTGGTCATCCATTACCAAGAAACTGACAAAGATCTGCTGTACATTATGGAAAAATTTGAGTCATCTGACTAGAAAATCCATAGACGCTGCGTCACCAGCAGCTATGTGGTCATTGCGCTGCTGTTGAAGTACTTACCGAACATGTCTGTGGGCATTCCTGATGTTCTCTTCTGCCTAGGAGGACTGAGTCTCTGAAACATATCCACTGGAGAAAATAATTGTGGAGACTGGTGATCCCTACTTCTTCCCTTACCAGGGAGTGCAAAGCCCTACCCCATAAGAGCAGTCCACAGAAGCCTGGGACCCTACTCACCCAGAACCCCCTTGGTAGGACTCTCCTTGCAACTGCAGGTTCCCAAAAGCGTTTGTCAATATGCTCACCCTGGCCCAGCTTTCCACACAGTTCAAGAGATTGCCAGGGTCAAAGAGGAACTGCTGTTCTGCACCTTGGCCACCTTGTGTGAGAACACCAGTCAGTCACTGCTACAGTCTACAAGCCAAGTGGATTTCAGCAGGAAACTTAGAACAGGCCAACCAGCAGCCTCACAGAACATTGGCTGGGTCTGAACTTTGCCTATGTCAAGGATGTGATTGCACAGCCCATTGGAACAGAGATAACCGGGACCATATGTTGTCCTCAGAACTGATGGGAGGGTGCAGTGGCCTACATTGCACAGTGCAGTGGATGTGGGTGAGGGGTTAAGGGGCTGCCCAGAATGTCATCTAGGTTTTGTCTCTTGGCTAAAATGTTCCAGGGCAGTCCCTGGATGAATGTCATGTAAGGGTATGAGTTTGCCAGTCCAAGTCTGAGGAAAGCAGAATAGAAAATGAAAATAGAAACTGAAGAGAAATCATACCAATCTTTGAACTTGCTACAAGGGGTTGGGAGTTTAGCTCAGTGGTAAAGCCTTTGCCTAGCATGCAGAAGTACCTGGGTTTCTTCTCCAACAACACCAGAAAAAGAGTTGCAGTTATGGAAATCTCAGAGGCAGAGAAATGAGATTTAAGAATGTATTCAGTCACATATTCAGAACATGGCTTCTTCTCTAAAGAGCTGTCAACCCCTGGGTCTTGCAGTAGAGTGCTTGAAACATTCAGATGGGGACTCAGCAGTAAACAGTGTTGTCAGGTATCATATGTCAGATCTCCAAACAGCCTAACAGGAAGGGGAAAAGACGTGTACAAAACCAAGGAACCCAGGGAAACTATATTTTTAGAAAGCTCTGATACCCAGCCAGGATTGAAAACTGCTTCCACAGAGTCTTTTTTTTCCCTCATCTACTATGACCAGGGCTCAGGCCTCCATTGTGCTGTGGTGGTAAAGGATTTTTGCTGCTCTAAGAATATAATCCCTTTTGTGAAGCATTGAACATCATTTCAAATCACTTAAGCCCTTAAGTGTTTTTTATAAGCCAGTAACTCATCCCAATCTTTGGAAAGTTAAGACTTGATTTTAAAGATCTAATTTAAAGCAATTCTGAATTCACCTTTTGTCTTAGATGCTATAAAATTTGTTAGGGCTTAAGAAATAATCTATTTTTAGAAGAAAAATCATTAATGCCTGTAAGGAAAAGATGTAAAAAGTCAATATAATGAGTATTAGAAAAAAAAATCCCAGTAGGTTTCTCCAGTTTTTTCCCTCCAGATCCCATTTTCTAGGCACAGCACTCAGTGAGGAGCATCTGAATCAGTTGTCATTTCACAAGTGATATGC